GTACTACTTTTAATGACTAATGTTTTGGTTGTGTACCAGTGTTCTTTTTTTTTTTGCCATCCCTACAGGCTACAGTGATCAGTGATAATAAAATATTAATATTTATTATTTGCTCTTTATATCTTTTTTTTAATCAATATCTGTAATATCGATATTTTGTTTTGATATTTTGTAGGTATCGATATTAGCTTTCGATTCGATACCATGTAAAAGTATCGGAAAAAATGTTTCGATATAATATCCATATGTGTGGTACTGTGGTGTCGTGCGCGGGTCGGTGGTATGTACAGGTTGTACGGTGTATGCCGAGTACCTAATTTAGCTGTAACCTAACATATATAATTTACTAATTTAACTAATTTTACGGTAAAATATGCAATTGTACTTCTAATAAATGAATGGTTTTATAGTAAAAACACTTATTATAAAACTTGTAGAGGAGTAATATATCTTGAGTTGTATAGAGCCGGTTTTTAATGTTATTTTGATCGAAATATTTAGTAATTCTTAATGAATGCTAAAAATAACCATATTTATGATAATATCAATGTACCCGAGTAACAATTTCAGGGTGTGAGGTCGGTTAAATAGACCGATAGGTGCATGGTGAGTTCTAATTTTATTTTGAACTGTTTTTAAACTTTATTTGGTGTCTGGTCCGTTCGATCGACTGAACCGTGTTTGGATCGTACTTAGAAAAAAGAACTACTTTAAACTATTAAAAAAAAATGAACTAATAAAAATCCATATTAGTTTTTTTAGACAAGCTACTAAGAAGTTTTAATAGTTAACTACAAATAATTAGCTTACTACTAGAAAATTGTTAGTAGCTTACTACTAGAAAATTGTCGGTAGTTTATTACTAGAATATTAACTGTGCTTTACTATTATAAAATATATAACAGATTGTTTTTAGAAACATTTATGTAATAAGAATACAAGTGGTTAGGTTATTTGCTAGACGATTTACTTATAAAAAATTATACTTTTACCATAAGAGTATAGATATAAAATTAAAAAAAAAAACTAAGGAATAAAATATATATTTGATTATGAGTTATCACACTTGACACTATATATTATTACCTATCTAAATGTCTATCTTAGTTCACAAATTGATTAAAACAATCGCAGTTTTGTCTTTAATCAACTTTTAAATATTAATTTGATAGAATGACTTTCATTAGTAAATTCAAATAAACTGCATTTTCATCGCTCCTGGCACAATTTATAGTTCTTGCTGTAGATCAATTGCGGAGCGCATTTTTATATGATAGAGTACATTACAGGTTCGTTTTGCCAGCACTGCCACTTTCTAATCTTAAAATCAAATCTTCACAGTATTTTGTACTTTTTTTGTACTTTATTTACTACTTAGTATAAATACCTATTATTTTAAGTATTATAATTTTCTCTATTGAAGAACTGAGAGAGGTTCTTAACGTAGTTAGCGTTAAAATCTCCAAGTAATATGTTTAAGCGGCCCCCATACACGATCAATATTATTGCTCAATATTTAAATCAATAAATATTTCAATAAATGTTTCAATTTCTTTTGCATTCACACGATCAATATTATTGCTCAATATTTACATCAATAAATGTTTCAATTCAATATATTGTTCAGTTTCGGTCAAAATATCTAGCGAAGAGAACGCGATAATTGCTATTGCTCTTGCCTTGTCACTTGATGAAAAAAAAAAAACCAAAAAAGGTAAAAAAACAACGAAGAACCTGGTCAAAAGAGGGGTTGAAAAATAGACAACAATATACTCACGAAAAGCTATTAACAGAGTTGCGCAATTTTGAAAGAAATGATTTCAAAAATTTTTTAAGAATGGATGATGAATGTTTCGATGAAATTTTAACTTTGGTGAATCCATTTATTAAAAAACAAAATACGTCAATGCGAGAAGCTATACCAGCAAGTCAAAGACTGTCTATAACTCTACGTTATTTGGCTACCGGAAACACATTCGAGGACCTGAAATTTATCAGTGCGATATCTCCTCAATCCATTGGAAAAATTGTGATTGAAACTTGTGAAGCTTTAATATATTGTCTTCGAAACTATATAAAGGTAAGCTACATATTATATATGTTGGTAAAATTACATAACTAGTTGTTGCGTTAGAGATTGCTTTTATTCATAAGTTTATTTATTATAAATGAATATTATTATTAGTAGGTAGTAGATATTATAAGTATCGTAAATATATAAATTTATAGAACAAAATAACAATGAAATTAAAATTAAAAAAATTATGGTTGAAATGAATTGATAAACGCAGTTGCCGTATTTATGTTCCCAGATGGTTCAATTTGTGTTTGAATAGAGTAGTTTTGATCTGCTACACTTGTCATAACCCACGAAGACGGACTTGGCGTAGGAACTGGTGTATAACTGTATGGAGTACTTACTCTGCTTGAAATACTATTGATTTGAATGGAATCACGGTTCAATGTACCCAATTGTCCTTCAAATAAAATGTCAGCTATCACTTTTTTGGCGAAAATTTGTTGAGATTTATTCATTTTTAATAATTCATTATCCCATGTTTTAGCTATTTGTAATTCTTCACATTCCGGTTCGCACAAACGTTTACAGGCTAATGATATAAGTTCATCACGTTGATCTGTACTTCGTTTAGCTGGTTTATTTTTAACAGTTTGAAAATCTGTATCATTATCCTAAAATAACAAATTCATTAATAAAATAAAATCTAAATGATGTATGATCTTGTATAAAACTAATTAAGTATTTTTTATTTGAGAACCTAATTAATTATTATTAATTTTTAGTTGCCAAAAACTTCACATGAATGGAAAACAATCGCTGATGAATTTGAAGAAAAGTGGGATTTCCCACACTGTCTGGGATCTATAGATGGAAAACATGTGACAATAAAAAAACCACCAGACTCTGGATCATTTTATTATAACTACAAAAATACATTTAGTATTGTGTTATTAGCTTTAGTAAACGCTAATTATGAGTTTTTGATGGTAGACGTAGGATTAAACGGAAGAATATCTGACGGCGGAGTATTAGGCCACTCAGATTTTGGAAAAATGATGGGAAATCAATTACTTAACATTCCTGAACCTCAACAAGTGCGACGCAGTAATAAGATTCTTCCATACGTTTTTGTCGCCGATGGCGCTTTTGCTATGACTCAAAATTTGTTAAAGCCTTATAGCCGTGTAGGAAATAATTTAACTGAAGAACAACGATTATTTAATTATAGACTTAGTCGAGCGCGGCGTATTGTTGAAAATGCGTTTGGTATACTTGTATCTAGATTTGGTGTATTACAAAAGGATATACTTTTATCTCCAGAAAAAGCACAAACTATTGTTTTAACTTGTTGTCATATACATAATTATTTAAGATCAAAAAACTCAAAAACATATATTGGTCAAGGTTCTGTAGATTTCGATAATCACGAGACAGGTGAAATGCATAACGGAGCATGGCGGAATTCAAATCATCAATTATTAACATTACAAACTACTACCAGCAGAAATACTTCGGATAGAGCTAAAGAAATCAGAGACATGTATTCTATGTATTTTAGTAACGAAGGGACTGTACCGTGGCAAAATAATTATGTTTAAAATAAAATGTAAATAAAAAAATTAATAATAAATAATAATAATTATTATTATTATTATTATTATTTATAAAATAAATAATAAAAATGTAATTCAAATAATTAAATATTATAATATTAATAATTTTCATACCTCTCCTACAGTTTCAGTGATTTCGTCTATTTTATCATCAACATTGCTTGTATTTGCGACTTTTGGTGGTAGACGGATTTGTTAAGTGCTTCGTGATTATGCTGGTGTTTCTTGGTCCCGGAGAAAATGCATTTCATTAAAATATCACAAGTGTGACTGATAAATGTCTTCTAAACCAGCTCCAGATTTATACGAATCATTTACTTTTTTTAATTCTTTTCTATAATTTGTGCGTAAAGAATTAAATTTTTTTTTTAACATCATCTAATGTCGCTGTCGGAAAACGTTCTTGAT